TATGACAATATCTAAATTACTAATTGTAGCATTTGGCTTGTGCCCTGCAGGTGGTTTGCATTGAGAAGAGCCGGCCGAATATACCCAATCGCTGGCACGGCTCCGATGTGCTGCACAACATGGCCAAGGTCATGAAGGAGTGCTGGTATCCCAATCCTGTGGCGCGACTCACAGCGTTGCGCATCAAAAAGACGCTGGCCAGCATACGTGTCGAGGACAAGGTCAAGAACTGATTGTGGCTCTAGTGCGTAGACCAAGAATGGAATGCGTTTTATTTTCGTTTGATTTTGTTTTCGTCATTCATGTAAAAGCGTTGTGTGCATTGCAACTCGTGTAACCTGTAACCTGGCCCCGTGTTACCTTCAAGCGACAACAAAGCAGCAAAAGAAAACTAAGCTAACTAACCGAAACTAACTAACAAATACATTGTAAATACTTAGGTCTAACCAAATACCAAACGCCAATCCCCCCTCGCCCCACACCCAGATTCATACAATGCCAATCCTACATGCTTTGCATATGTATATGAACTGTGCTCGTTTTTAGATTATCTGTTGCATTTCGCATTGACTTTATACTTTTGTACATATATATATATATATATCCATATATATTTCGTTTGACATTTTCTGCTGAGATTCGCTTCGTTTTTCCGTACGTGCAGGCAGCGGCGCGCCACAAAATCGCCGCACTGCCAAATGTGCTAAAAACAAAAACAAAAACCACAAAAAAAAAAAACAATGAAATGAAAAACACAATTAGGGCCTAAATATGTATACACCTAATACAAAGCATGCATATATTTTTTATAGCCACTGTTCACAAAAATATATATACAAAGAAAAAAAAAAAAACAAAAAAAAAATATACATACAGTTAAAAGACTTTGCCAAGACTGAGCAGCAGTGAGAACAGCAAAAAAAAAAAAAAAAAAAAAAAAAAAATACACAAAAATAAAATGAATATCCCCCAGAGAAATCAATCGCAAGTTACAAATAACGAATTCCAGCTGGCAGGCAATTTTTGTGCTGCATTAAATATCCATATTGTAATCGTATATAGAAACCTTACATCTAGAAATATGAAAACAGTTTTTTAGGCGTTTATCGTTGACGAAAAATTTCAACAAACAAAAAACTCAGGAACTCTTGAATTACAACAAAAAAACAAAAAAAATTGATTAAAGCAAAGTAAATAACAACAAATAATAAATTGTTTGGCGCGCCGACTGCTGCATGCCACGCCCACATCCATGCCACCCAAATGCTGTTGCTGCTGTGTGTGTGTGCGTCTCCTAAGCTAATTATACATATACACACATCTTATCTATATCTATATATATATATATATGTATATTAGATAATTAAGCATAATGCATAAATCGCTTTAAGTTCTTCTATACGTATACTTCATGCAACCAAACATTTTGTTTACCATTTTCCCATTTTACATCATTTTGATTTTCTTTTTAGTTCTGTTATAACCAAAGCTTGTTCTTCCTATTTTTACTGTAGTCATAAAACGACAACTAAACAAGTTGAGTTGAGCAAAAGAATAGATATATATTTATATATATATATAAACGATAAATATATTTATATTTATGTAAATGTATATTTGCTTGCATTGTAAGAAACTTGAACAAAACATATTCATAAACATAACAAAGCATAATGCTGATAATTAGAAACTTTAAGTCATTTTGCAACACTGCAACACCTAGATTAACTGTGTTGTCTGTCGTGTCATGAATCATTTTCAAAGTTGAGCTAAATGTTTTAAATGTCTGCACCACACACACTCACACACTCACACACACATACACACACTCGCACAACAAACCAGCCATAGCCAAGCAAATGTAACAGACCCAAACACAAACCTGCAATAGTAGTTTCTATACATGAAATGTTTTCCCCAAAACATAATTTACACAAACGCCAAGAGATTAAAGTACACTACAAATTATAAAAGAGAGAAGAGAAAACATTAATTTAACATATACATCAAGCTACAAGTAAGCATCATATATATTATAATTATTATGTATAACAATTCGATTTGATATGCGTATAACGAAAAAGAAAACAAAAAACTATATATATATGAACCTAAACTAGATTGTTATAACTTTCGGCCTGCGAAATTTGATTTCCTATTAATTTAGGCAACTGAAAAGAATTATGAAATACGTTTACATTAAGTTCCAACTAATTTCCTGTAATTCGAAACCTTTTTCAGTTAAAAAAAAAACAAAAACGAAGAAAGTAAAATGTAATTTAAGTTTTTACAAAAGAATATTCCTGTAATTGTAAAATGTGTAAATAATAATTGAAAGTGAAACAACACAATTTGTAATATTGTTAAAATGATAAATGTTTAACTATGCCAGAAACCCCAATCGCTCCCGCAATCCAGATAGACTCCACCCTCCCCGCCCACAACTTACGTTGTTTCGTTCCATTTTTAAAAGTTTAACAGAACCTAACGTAATCAAAGATTCCATAATACAATATCGCGCGATAGAGGCAAAACTTGAATAGTACTGAGTTTAATATTGAAACAAACCGAAGAGAAAAAAGAAAATACTTTAAAAGACTTGAACAACAAATGCGCAAGAGAAACAACATTTTTTGAAAATCTAATATAAATAATTATTTCCTATTTGCCAGCTAAGAAAACTTATTTTTTTTTTTTTGAGAAATTTTGCAATTAAAGAATAACATGATTTAAATCTGATTTAAGTGTTAGGCTCAAGCGTAAAAGGATTTTGTTTTTTGACATGTGTATTAATCGTAATTGGAGAAAGTCGAGAGAAAGTTGAGCGAAAGTCGAGAGTTGCAGAGAAATTGATCAGGATGTGAATTGGAATTTTGGATATGTGTATGTGAAGCATTTACGGTGTACTGTTAAAAACAAAAAACAAAAAACAAAACAAAAAAACGATAAAAAACAAACAAAGAAAAAACAAAACAAAAAGCGTTGAAAGTGTAAACAGAGTCTAACTTTTAGCTTTAAGCTGCGTTTTTACTGGCACTTTAAATAAAACAAAAAAAAAAAAACAAAAAATATTTGTAAAAAAAAAAAAAACAAAAATGTTCAACTGTACAAACAGTGGCACAACTGTTGTGCTCAACAGTTGGTTGACTTTCATTTTTTGGGCTTTTTCCTTTTGGGTTTTCTCGTCACTTTGCAGTGCAAAGGTCAAGAGTTCAAAGTCTTTTATTTATTTTGCCATTGGACCCAAATGTTTTCTTAATTCAAATTTGAATAGCAAATGCTTCGCACAGGTTTTTGTCCTTGTGAAATTTCAGCTTGGCAAGCGCAAAAAAAAATGTTCTCATTCCTCTTTTTATTTTCAATCGATTTTTACAGGTTCGCCGCGAGGTCATTTGCATATACAAATAGCCCAAAATTGAAGGTTCCAGCCACAGGCACACATATGACGTTGCACAGGTGAGGGTCATAATTCCATATATACATATTCCATATACCATACTATATACATATAAGACTTGCGCTGGGATAATGTGTGGGACGCCGGGCAAGCTTGCAGAGAGATTTTGCTTTTGCTTTGCATACCCTTTTGTAGAGGGTACTTGAATTTGGTCATGAAATGTGTGACGCATAGAGAAAGATATCTGTAAACCCCTAGAGTATATATGTTTTTGATCAACATCAACATACGCGTCTGCCCGTTCGTCTGTCCGTCCTTCCGTCTGTCCGTCAATCCTTTCGTTCGTCCTTCCATCTGTCTGTTTCAATGCGAACTAATCTCTCAGTTTTAAGGCTTTCGTTTTAAAACTTTGATTCGTCCTTCTGGTGCAGCCACTATATAGATCCAAAACTGATCGAATCGAACCTCTATATCATATAGCTGCCATGGGCACCATTGGCCGAAAACTAACACTTGTCTACTTGCATGTTTATTAAGATATCCTCACTAAACTCTAAACATATAAATTTCTTAGAAATAATCGCTGGAAAGGGTTTATTATATGGCTGAATATTTTGTTTTCCAATATATCCAATACTCACATATCAGCAAAAGTGAAATGTCTGCAAGGGTATTTACTCTTCGGCGTGTAGAAGATGGGCTTTGTCGTTTTCTTTTACTGTTGAAAGATGGGAATTTGATGTGCTCAAGTAGAAAGTGTAAGAGCGTTTGAATAATGATAGAAAGCCCTTAAAAGTAAAGTTTAAAAAAAAAAAAAACAATTTGATATTCAAAAGTTCTATAAAAACATATTTGAAGATATTTGGATTTGTTTATCTGAAAAAAATATGCTTGCATTGCTTTTAGTAAGGATTAAACTTAAATCCAGCGACTTAAGTTTTAAAGTGAACTTTAAACCTTGAAGTTACTCCGCTTAACTGGCCAGATCTGTTAAGCCAGATCAACTTGAATAACCCAGCTGTACTACAGGGAACAATTGTTCAAAATAATAATTCCCTATATTAAATAAAGTTCAATAGCTCTTTGCTTTTGGGGACTTGAATCAGGGCTTTGTCGACTTTTCCTGCTTAACTGGCCCACTTGGGCAGCTCATTTTGCAATACCCTGCTGCAATACTGGGAACGATTGTTCAAAATTATAATTCCCTATATTATGCGGATTTGAAGCGTGGCTTTGTCGACTCTCCATGCTTAACTGGCCCACTATGGCAGCTCATTTTCTAATACTCTGCTGCAATACTGGGAACAGTTGTTCAAAATAATAATTCCCTATATTAAATAAAGGATTTAAACCGCAACTTTGACCTTCGAATTTTCCTGCTTGTAAAACAATGAACAATTGTTCAAAGTAATAATTCCTTATATTACATTTAATTTCCCCCCTCTCACACTCACACAGAATTGGAATGCAAATTTTGCGGCCCTTTAAGGCCCGCAGCAAATGCAAAATAAATAATTAAAATTCATTTCTCGGCATTGTTTTTTTGTTTTTTTTTTTGTTTTTTTTTGGTTTTGCGGGCGTTGCGCCCTTTGCACTTTAAGCGTGCCTTACACTTGTTGTCTTTATTTGATGACTTTAATTCTTCATTAACATTTTTGAAGGGTTTTTATAAAATACATTTACATAGGCTTCATATTAAATATGTATAGATACATATACATATATGTATGTATATATTGTTTGACTTGACTTGATGCGAATGGGGAACGCAAAGTGCTTGAAAAGGTACAGTTCACAATTCGGTTATGGTCTTTGGCTACATATGTTAGTTAATTAATTTATTAATTTCAATATTCATTTTTAATTAATTTGTAATTGAGTATATTTTTGGATAATAACATTAAGACTTTTGCGAATAAAATTGTTGTGTTTAATACTTGCTGTTATAACATTGAATGCCTCAGTCAGTATTTAATATATATATATATTTTCTTTAAATTTCATATTTATTTTGTTGTCTGATTAATATAATTAATTCTACGAAAAACACTGAAAATCCCGTTTGATTATTATAATTGTGTTGAATATAATTTAATTGAGTTAATTTTAGATATTTTTGTATATATTTGTTTATGTTAACAACAAGAATGATATGCATTTGTTGAACATTTGATATGTTTCATTTATAATATAATTCCTTTAAACGTTTGCCGTGGCCTTTAAGTTGTCTTCAGTGAAAGATTTTCATATTCATTTTCTTTATGCTTCTTCGATTTGCCGCCTTTTGCTCAGTTGTGGCGCTGCTGAAAAACGCTGGCCATGTGCTAGATAGATGATAATTATCTAGATTAATTATCTAGTTGTTAACCTTGGCCGCTTACCTCTTGGGTCACATCCACGCAGTCGAAGGCATCGCGAAAGTAGCCGCAGCTCAGCTTCGACGAGCCGCGATGATGCAAACGCTGACGCTGGCAACACATGCCGCTAAACGTGTCAAATAAAATGATCGACTTGTAAATACAGTATATTTTGTTTTGCTAGCTCTTAGCAGTTAGCCTTAACCCTTTGCATGAGGCTCAATCGTAATGATCGAATCAAATCAAATCAGCTGGAATTCGGCTTGAATTATCAAACACGAACTTGATCTGGTTGAGCTATACGAGAGTCTAAAGTCTCAATGGCATCTTTGACTTTTATTACTCTGTTAAAAGCAGACAGACTGACAGCTACATTGACATTGTGATGACAGACGGCTTGACAGCTAGATGAACTCAGAGATTGATCGGTGGTTAAATAATAGACAACCAGAAAGAATGACAAGCCGAAAGCAAGCCACTCTGACAGACAGATAGGCCCGTACTTAAGCTGACGGTCAGCTTAACAGCCTATTAGGCTGAGTGACAGACGCTCTAAGCAGCCGATCTCCCTTATCCTTTAATAAGCCCAGACTAGCAGATAGACTAGGAGTTAAACTGGCTGTCAGTTAAACCAGCTGATAGTCACAATGACAGACTAGTGAACTAAAAAAAAAAAATACATCTTACGGGTTTTGGTTATTAAAAATTTTAGATAAAGTTGACTAACATTGCAGACTAGTAGTTAAACTGACAGTCAGTTTAACAGGCAGATAAGACACATAAACATTAGGCTTACAGACACATAATCTGTAGTTTCTACGATCTTTGTAACACGCTCTGCTTTGTCTTTTAGTTAAACTAAAGTAACAGACAGACTAGTTGTTAAATTGACTGTTACTTTAACAGGCTGTTAATCAGACAGATATATTTACATATATTCTGCACTTCTCTGGGCCGCTCTTCGTTGTACTTTAAGCTCTTTTTCGACACTTACTTGATTACTTGACAGTCGCTGGTGCTGCTGCATTCGCTGCCCAGCGGCTGCTTGGGCCGCACATGCAGCACATCCGGCATTAGCGGAGCCTCCGCCTCGCAGCGCCAAATGCCCTCCTGGGTGGCCAGCATGCAGGCGCTGCCCGGCGCGCAGTCCGCGTGCCGTTGGCACAGATTCCGCTGGTGGCCAAACACGTAAACGCACTTGCCCTCTGTCAAATTTTGTAATTAGATTGCTGAGATTCGCCTGCTTCAGGACCTGCCCTGCGACACTTACCGCCATATGTGTGAACGCAGACCCCAGTGGGACAGCAATCATCGTTCAGCAGGCAGGCGCGATTCGCGCAGGGCGTGTCCTCAATCAGGGGCTCCACAATCCCGTAGACCTCGGCCTGTGGCTGACGCAGTTGCGCGGACAGCGGCGGCTGTGGCTGTGGCAATTAGAGAAAACATTTTTTGGCTTACAAAGTGTGTGTGTGGCACACGCTGCGTATGCGTGTTTTTCTGTATGTTTTTATTGAGCCGCTGTCCATTCGAATTTCATGCTTCACTGCAGCCCCGACTTTTATTTAACTGAGCTCTATTTGAAGCCTTCTATGACTTTCAGCCAGCGACTGTGCGTCGCACTCTATTTGAACTTTGCACTTTGCTGCGGCTGCCACATGACATGCTGGCAGCTGATATTAATTAACAGTAGCTGCAGCTGCACATGCTACGTGTTTGTCGCGGCCCACGCTGCGTATGAGTGATGCAAATTGAAAATATTGCAAAACGTGCCCGAAAATAATCTCGGACTTAACTCTTCGGCGGCTTATGAGTTGAATTGGTTTACTCTTTAAAGAGAGAGTTATAATTTTTCCCTGAAGTGTGGTAAACAAGAAGGAGATATCTCTGATTCTATAAATTAAATTAAATTAAGCTCTTAGCTTAGCTAGATAGGAAGAATCGATCGAAAAATTAGTTTGGCAAAATATTCTGTTTTCCAAGTAATGTTCAGATATCACAAACAGTTGTCGCTTAATAAATATCAATTAATCTGTGCCAGATTGTTAAATCCACTTTAATTAAAACTGTTGCGGCTTTTAATTGCTTGTGAAAGCGTCCACACTCACCTGTTGTTTTTCCGGCTGACTTTGCTGTTGCTGCGGCTGCGGTTGCGGCTGCTGCTGCTGCTGGTCCATGGCAAACAATTGGCCGTATTCGTTATTGTAGCCCGCATTGTTCAGATTGCCGGCAAACATATCAAATGTGCCAACGCCGCCCACATTGGCGCCCACATCGGGCGCCGCGCTGCGATGCAACAAATTGCGCGAATTGCGTCCAAAGAGCGAACGCTGCCAGGCGCCGGCTGGCGGCGACGAGGATGCGTTGGCGCCCAGCTGCATGGCCAGGCCGAGCAGCACAAGTTGGGCCATGGCGGCCCACACCGGAATGCGTCTCATTTTACGCTATGCTAGTACCACATCGCCAGCGGCTGCAACAGTTCGTTTCGTTTTCGCAAAGTTGAGCTCTGGCAATGGCAACAAAAAAAAAATGGGTAAAAAAAAAAAAAACAGAGCCAAATGTGGCCTTAATTAAAATCCAACAGAAAATGGCCAACAGGCCCCGGTAAATTTGCCTTTAACAGGCATTTGCATTAAACGTCCGGACATAAGGAAGCCAAGCCTGTGCCTAGGCCTGTGCCTGGGTCTGTGCCAGAGCCTGTGCCCCCAGCGACAATGGCAAAAACGAACCGCAGACATATTATCCTGGCCCAGGTCATTAAAATGTTGTGTGCATGTGTGTGTGTGTGTGTGTGTGTGAAGGGTGTGTGCGTGTGTGTAAGGCATGCTTTTACTGTTATTACCGGCACTGACTTAATTTATGCGTGCCATACTCATTTAGCGCTTTTTATTGCCACGGATGTCAGTTATATATCAACATACATCTCCACATATATATATATACATATATATATTAAGAGGTATGTGCTGCATATGTGTTTGTTCTCTATTCATTCGAGTTGTGCTTAACAGCTTATTTATAGTAAAAATAATAAATCAAGCGACTGGAAAGCGAAAGGGGAAGAGGAAAGGGATATATACATATAAATATGCTGAGTACCTTGTACTTGGATTTTATTCAGTTAATGATGCCTATCCAGAATGAAAGCTTTATTTTAAGTGGACTAAGTTCCATTTGGAATCCGCATTTTTTTTACTTTCAAAGCGGTTACTTAATGGCACTCGCAACAAGTTGCATACTTTATGTATATTTATTAATTATAAGTATTATATATAATTTAAAAAAAATATTTTTTGAGTATGTATGCATGCATTCATGTAGACATGTACTTATGCATGCATGCGTACATGCATTTAGGTATGCATGTAAATATACACGTATGCATGCAGGTGTTTGTGCTTATACATATTTGAATACTTGTGTATATGTATGTATGTATTTTTTAAAGAGCATGTGTGCACCTACTTATGCAAGTATGCATGTCTCTATGTATGCATGTTTACATGTCTTTATGTGTGCATGTATGCATGCATGTGTGCATGTAAGTATGTATATACATATGCATGCATGTGCTTGCGTGTATATATGAATTTATTTAAATATATGTATGCATGTAAATATATACGCATGCCTGCATATATGCATTTATTTAACTATATACATATATATGCATGCATTTGCTTACGTGTGTATATATGAATTTATGTGTTTATGAATATTGGTATGATGTATGCAGGCATGCATGTAGACATGTATTTATGCACTTGTTAACATGTATGTATGTATGTATGTATACGTATGTATGCATGTGCTTGTGCGTTTATATGTATGTAACTATATATACGAATTAAATAAATGGTAATGTATGCATGAGTATGTTTAAAAAACCTAAGGATATTAATATGAAAATATGTACGCACGCATGAGTGTCGGTATTTAACAGAAATAAGAATATTCCTTAAAAAAATGACTTTAGATGCATAGAAGTAATTATAAATGTTTTTAAAATTTATTCTTAACTTTCTTACACACATGTATGTAAATATATAAAATATTTAGCTTAATTGGCAGCCATCAAAAATGTTGCATACTACTTGGGGCACATGTGTTTCCAGTTGCATGCAACGTTTAAATATTTTAGCCAACCAAACTTTTTCCAGCTATTCATAAATGATGCATCCAAATGTATCCTAGATTCTAATGGCTGCGTGCACTTGACTAGCACGACACGACCCCCCCTCCCCCTTCCTTCCTTTTAAACCGTGTCTTCTTTGAACATTTACTGTCAGTCAGCTGAAAAGGCTGTGGGTGTGACCAGCAGGGCTTACTTGTTTTAAATATAGATACCAGCCGAGCTCGTCATAAGCTGTCCCACGCAATGTCAAAAACATTACACGGCTCGTACCCACACATGTTGACCCGGGATACGCCTTCAATCAATTTCATTAATGGAGTCCGCCCAAGACCCAGGTTAGAACTTGGGTTAAAAAGCAAACCTTTTCGCATGGCGCTAATTACGTTTTTTTCTTTAGCCCCAACTCAGTTATTTCTCGCAACATTTTTAACAGCGCTTGTAAAAGTTTTGAGTGAAAACTTTTCGCCAGCTGCAAATTTTCATTTGTAATCGAGGTAGAAAGCGAGAACGAAACAGATAGAGGGAGAGAGAGAGAGAGAGAGAGAGAGAGAGAGAGAGAGAGAGAGAGAGAGAGAGAGAGAGAGAGAGAGAGAGAGTGAGGGAGAGGGTTGTGCGTAACAGCAGACTCATCAAAATACATTCTAGACCTGTGCCTAATTAAATCTGTACTAATTATATTTCAACATCAAAGTCAAACACAAAGTCTAGCAATTACGCGTTTTAATAGACTGTCCCCTGGCCAAAAATATAACTGTTGCTAACTAAATGTTGATGGTTGATTTAACTTCACAAGTGGCATAAATTTAGTTGCGATTGATAGCTGCCTAAATCCAGAAATAATTAAGCTATTGTTAGGCTTGAGCTAACTACATATTTGCTCAAGGGCAGCAGATGCAATTCCAAGGCCCCAAAAAAGGCTGAAAAGATGTACTATCTGGCATATATAGTCTATCTGTTTTTATGGTCTGTATGTATGCAGTCTACATAGAGTAATTGGTCTGTCAGTATGTAAAGTCCATCTACTCAGTCAGGAAATAGACTAAATGACTATCTTGTCTGTCAGCATAAAGTATATCAGGTCTGTCAGTATATATAGTCAGTCTATCAACTTATATAATCTATCTAGTCTATCAGTTTATATGGCTTATTCAGCATATATACTCTATTTTCTCTTAGTATGTATAGTCTATATTTAATCTGTCAGTATTTATATATACCTGAGAATCTATCTATCTATCTTATATTTATATTTATCTATATTTAGTCTATATGTTTATTTTTTATATAGTATACATGTTTTTTTATATATGTATATACTTAGTCTATATATTTAGTTTGTATATAGTAGGCATTTGAGCTGAATTTAATCAGAAACTTGGAATGGCACTTGGCCAGGCAGAGCTGCTATAGAATACGCATGAAAACGCAAGTTACGAAACATTGGCGCACTTAAATTTCCTGTTAATCTTGAGGACAATGCGTCAATACACAATGCCTCACCCATGCATAAATAGAATTCCTTGAATTTGCTTCATGCGGTGTGGAACATAATCTCTGTGCATAACAGTGTGTGGGAGTTAGAGCAGACAGATTGCAAATCCGAGAAAAATTGAGGGGGTTGTTGGTTATTCAAGCTGAGTTATGAGCTGTTGATGGGGCGCCCCAAAGTTCCCCTTAAAGTAGCCAAAAGCAGGCCCCATTCTACTTTTAGCCTAGTTAGAAAAATGGAATAAAGCCGTCAACTGAAGAAGTTTCAATATCGGACATTTTGTAGGTTAGTTTTAAACTATTTTTGTTTGAACACATTCTAAAACATTCCAGGCTATCATGAATTTGTTTGCCAACTGTTCGATTGGTCCAAGTTAAAGTAATATTTAACATTAAAGGATTTTCTAATATGAAAAAGTTGGTTTCATTTCGATTCAAAATAACTGAAAACTCAACTTCTTGTTAAATATAACTTCGCGCTGAACTTCGAGCTTAAGTTTGAAATGAAAGCAAATGCCATGACAGCTATGACATTCAACAACAAGTTGTTCAAACTTGTTAAGTTTTGTTGCATTTCAATAACTTGTAGTTAAGACTCTATTTGTTGCGAAACTTTTAACAGCCAGTTGACAGCAGCATATTTTATTTAACCAGAGGTTGGGAAGGGAACTGTCAAAGCACAGTTAAACGGACAATTTGATGAGTTACTTAAGGACCAAAAATAAACGGTAAATGGTCATTAAGAAAGAAATGTTCGCTACGCAGGTGTGAGTGTTTGTGCGTGTGTGTGTGTGTGTGTTTGCTTGTGTGTGTGGGCGTGCGTGTGTGTGGGCGTGTCACACTCAAGCCGACGACTTGATTATTGTTGGTAACAAATAAGTTTTGGCAGTTGCCAAAGTTTATTTTGTCAGCGCATTAATTAAAACACACACACACACACACACACACACACACACACACACACACACATACACACACACAGCATACACACACCTGTTTCTGATTTGTTAATGCGACAAGCGGCTAAATACTGCTGCGTATTGCAGCAAGTGGCAGCAACGCGTAACTTGCTGCCACAATTTCACTTACATGACTTTAAGGCACAATTGCGACTGCAAACACAACACTCACATGCACACACACACACACATACACTAGTTATTTGCTAGAGCTTGGAGCTGCTGCGTACCTGCTGCTTGTGTGTCCTTTCAGCGACTGACGGCCAACACCTGTCGGCTGTCGGCAGCTGCCTGCTGCCTGCCACAAGGCGCAAGCTTTTCGACGCAAGCTTTTTGCCACCGTGCTCTGTGTGTGCATTTTTATGAATTAAAAGGCGAAAAGCTTTCTCGCCGCATGTGTGTGTGTGTGTGCGTGTGTGTCTATTGCCTTTGAGGCCTATGGAATCAATGAAAGGCTACAATTTAATATGTAGTCAGCATTTTTTTTTTTTGATGGCCTGGCCTCGTGACGTCACAGCAAGCAGTTCTCCTGCTTGAGCCTTGCTCGCAGTGCTTCCTTCTACTTTACGGCTTGCCAGCCGTGTCCTTTGACAGCCCGCGGCAATTTTGGCCTGCGAATTTGATAAGGCTGTCAAATTGTTTGTCAACTGACAAGAAATTGCCGCCAGCTGCCATTCGGACCGTGTCGAAATTTATTTACAATTTAAACCAAAGCTTTGCATTCAAATCAAATTCAACTGTGGCAATTCTGTGCAATGTTTCTCGCTTTGTATTTTCTTAGCTTGCCGAGGAAAGTTTTAGCTAAAGCTCTGATTTGCCGCAAATGTGTAAGAGATCAAATCTTAGAATTAAAAAAGATTAAAGCTGCTTTAATATAAACATACTCAGCTATTAAAATAACCACGGAGGACATATTGAAGTAAGCTGAAGATCATAAACCTAATTTCTATACAACAAATTGGTTTATACTCAAACAACTTGAATATTTAGTGCTAAAAATGTTAGATATCTTCAAAGTTGCGGTTAGATTTTTCAGGATCGCTGCAAAAAGTATTAATTTCTTTAATTTTCCTCAAATTAATTTACTCATAGATCTTAAAATTTGGATAATAAACAAAAAAGATGCGTACAAACAATTTTCGCAATTATTCCAGTCAGTCAATCTGATACCAATCAATCTATCAGTAAGTCCGTCAGCTTGTAAGTAATTTTTTTAGTCAGTTTGTCATTCACTCAGTCAGTTATTCACTTCGTTGTTCAGCCCGTCATTCAGTTCAATATAGATATACTTACATTTAAACAAACAGCTGGGACACCCTGTATGCAGCTTTGACAAGCACAAAACCGCGGTAACAATTTTATTTTTATGTGTCTACCCCTTTAAATACATATATAAGTTAAAATAAAAAGTGGTCAACCTTGTTTATGCTACCAAAGTCCGTCCGTGAAAGTAAGTTCAATGTCAGATCGATTAAGGGAGAAGCTTTTGAGCATTTTGCACGTGACGCATACGCAATGTGGCACATAAAATGCCACTAAAAATGGTTTTGGTCTTGTTTTATTTTATTTTTGCTTCCACTGCCATTGTAATGACAGCTGTGCGCCACAGAGAGTTGCCGGCAGTTTGGCATCCAGGTAATGCACCAGCTCGCAGGTAATATGGAAAGCAACCAGCTCTCTGTACAACTGGGGCATGGTGGCAGCCTGCCAGTTGCCTGCCAATTGCAGTTGCCTTTGCAGCAAGCGGAAATTGCACACAAGTAGCCAGTTGCTTAAAGCAGGCGCTGGCAGAGAGCGGAGTCTGTATCCTGGTAGTCCGCATCCTGGTTGCAGTTTGATTATCTGCTTTTGATTTTATAGGATTTATGCGCCTGTGTTTGGCATTTCGGAAAATCCAATTTCACTTGACATGATTTGATTCTCAGTGGCGTATAGCTCTTGTACTTTTTCAACTTTTTCATCTTCTTCTAGTTATTAGTTTTTCAGTGTTGTTACAAATGGATTTGTTGTGTTTTTTTTTCTCCTGTGCATTGGCGTATATTTTCAGGTAGCAATACGGAAAATTTGTGGGAAGAATTTAAATGGCGCAAGAAACATAAGAGTTTGTCATACGAGAATACAAATATTAATCCAAATGTTCTACGAGTAATGAGGTTGGGGAAATTTTGAATTTTGTACAAGAATAATGTTGCCTTAAAAAAAATAATCAATTGTTTTTTTTTTTACTAATTTACTCTCATTTATTTCGTCGATATTTTTCTTGTGTTTGTGTTTTTCGCTTTGTTCGTTTTGTACGCTTAAGTTGCTAACAAATTGTATGTAGAAATACATAGATATAAGGTAAATATATCGTATATCGTAAGCATAAATTAATTAATTAATAAATTCAATTGAACTAAAAACATATGCTCTCTCGCTTGCGCATATTTGCATTTTAACATAACAACAATTTGCCTATGAAAATTAACAATTGATTATATTAAAATTATTATTTTCTCTTTTTTTTTTTTATTTTTTTTTTATGTAAAAAAATAAAAAAACGCATGCTACAGTTTTTAGTTGAATCAAAATAAATAGCAAAAAAAACACGGCAGCTCAATATTAAATAAATAAATAAATAAATAAATAAGCTTAGCAATTAAAATAAATATGTCTTAAAATTATTATTGCGCATGTTGGTGAGTGCAGGGGGGAGGGGCGTCGCTCGCTCTGAAATTAGTTTAATTTTAAAACGCAGAAAACGCCTCAAAGTAGGCAATGGAAGTGTTGCTAGTTTGAAAGCCACAGTGCTTGTCAAACTGTCAGCGCAATACTCCAATTAAACTAATGCCAAGGGGGAGGATGAGTTTTGTGAATGTGACGTTTGTCTTTTAAGTTTTTTGTCTTTTCTCGCTTTGCCACGCTTAAATGTCCTCTAAACCTACTTTTCTATTTACAGTTGCGCTCTGATGCAGTGGGCGTGGCGTCTATTTAACGCCCGTTATGCTGCGCAGCCAGGGCTTGTAGAATGTGGTGCGCATATAGACGCCCGGCAGATACGGCGCCGCACACTTGATGCCATGCGACACGGTGCCGGCCAGCTCGTAGCGTCCGTCGGGACGCTGCAGCACCAGGGGACCGCCGCTGTCGCCCTGCCAGGACAATGAGTAATAAACATGATTAAAAGTTTCTGTCCAAATTGCATCATTAAGTGCAGACTCACCTCGCACGAGTCCTTCTGCCCGTTGGCATAGCCCGCACACAGAAACGAGCCGAGAATCTTCTTGTTATGCCCGGCGGTGTGGAACATCTCCTGGCAGACGCTGTTCTCAATTATTGGCACCTGTTGCGTGCGAAATGGCAATTAAAAGTTTTATTCGGTTAAATGTCAAGCCAAGCTGGCTGACCATCAGCTAACCACACGCACCTGCACCTCCTGCAGCACCGAGGGCACACCGCCGCCGTACTTGAGACGCCCCCAGCCGGTCACTGTTGCCATGCGACCGGTGAAGTCAGCCAGATCGTTGGGCATGCAAATTGGCACTGCAAGGAGAAAGTTGGACAGTTTGTTAACATAAATGTGAGTAGGATTTGCTTTAAATATCACCTGAGAATTATTCTAGCCTTGGAGTTAAAAATGCGATAGTAACAAAAATTTTAAGTAACTTGTCTCGCGCAAAGGTGCATTTGGTGCATTTGGAGAATATATATGCTCTGTCGCTAAAGTATCGCTTGGGCGATGAAAGAGCGATAGTAAATTTCTGCGTTCATCCAGAGAAGACTAGCTTTGCACTAGCTCAAAAATCTGACCTTCATTACCCATAAGCACTTAGTGAATACATCTGCTCTATTGCCAAAGTATCTCTTTGGCGATAAGAAGGCGATAGCTAACGTTTTTGCTTTTGCACACAATTATAAAGTTACTTACCTATAGGCGTTTATAGAATGTATATGTGCTCTATCGCCAAAAAATTGCTTGGACGATAAAAAAGCGATAGCTAGCAATTTTTTCTTTTACATGCTATTATAAAGTAATCGAACTTCGCTGTGACACCCAACGACTTACCTATATGCGTATCGAACTGCACGGGACTGTCCATTTCCAGCAGCGCCAGATCGTTCTCAAACGTGGCCGGATCATATTGGCGATGGACAATGACGCGCTTGACATTCTTGGTAACGGGACGTTTGCTCTCCAGATCACCGGAGATATCAAACTCGCCCATGACAGCGACCAAAGAGGCCAAGAAACTAACGAAATGATTGGGATATTAGCAAAGGATTGCGTTAGGATTGTCTGAAGACTTACCCGGGCTGACAATGTGCGGCGGTGATGACATAGCGACTGGTGATTAGAACGCCGCCACATTTGTTCTTGGTGAAGAGGCCCAGCCAGGTGGACTCGCGTACCAGGACCTGCCAGGGAAAGGCGCCGAAAGTGGAGCCTTTGCCGCCGACAATGCGACCCGACTTCACATGTGGACGTACGCCGCATTCTGTTGATGGGGAGTGAAATGTGAGGTTAGGAGTAGGGAGTGTTCACAAAGCGAGAGAGTGAGAGCGAATGATCGGGTGACCGAGCGAGCGAGCGAGCGAGCGAGCGTCCAGACTGACAGCCGGTGAGATATAGAGTACAATTATTGGGAATAGAACTGCGAATATTTGCGGAAGGAGGCACTGAACTGATCGGATGGTTGTGGGATGGGACTGGGAACAGGTTGAATTGGGTTGAACTAGAACTAGCTATGTGACTAAGGGATAGCGATTGGGTTGATCAATGATGGCGTTGCCTGTGGCCAGGCCGTTTCAGGCGGCGACGTGCTATAATTTTGGATGGATTAAAATGCAAGTGTAAGGTTAGGGACAATTGATTCGGATGGATTTTGGTTGGGGGGTTATCGAACATTATGTGCATGAATCATATTAGAAACAAGAGAGAAAACAGAGAAGAGAGAGAGAGAGAGACAGTTTGTTTTTGGGGTCCATGCTACAAACACTCAACACTTACGTATTTTGCGTCCGTTTGCACCACCGTAAGAGCTCAGCGTCTCCTGTTCGATTTCGTTCTCATGCGGACTCGGATTGACATCCTCTTCGTCCTCTTCGTCGACAATTTCATCGTTCTCGGGCCGCGCCGTGGTCTTGGCCGTGGTGCTAACACGCTTCGTTGGCTTCTTCGAGCTGGGACGACGCGTTGTGCTGCTGGCCGCCGAGGTGGGTCGACGTGTGGCCGGTTTGCGTGTGCTGGTGGCCGAGGTCTTCTTGTTGGGCGCCTTGGTGGAGACACGTGTCACGGGCTTCTTTGTGGTCGCCCTTGGCTTCGAGGTGGTCGCCACCCGCACCGGTTTGCGTGTGGTCTTGCGGTTGACATTGTTGGTGCTGGCGGCGCCCGATGAATAGGTGGAGGCCGTATTGTTAGTCTCGTCGATCATGTCGGCGAGCGCCTCAAAGTTGCCCTGCAATGAGGCCACCAGTTTGTGCACGAGCGTGTGCATCTTGTCCTTCAGCACAATATCCTCGACAAAAGCGGGCGTGGATAGCTCCAGATCGCTGGTCACAGCGCTCGAGGCGGCGGACATGTTCAGATTTGGATTGCGCACCGGCGGGAAGTTGACAAAATCATTCGGTGAGGTATATGTTTCCTCGACAATCTGGCCAACCTTCTCGCCGGGCACCGAGAATGCCGGATATGTGGGCGTCGGACCATAATAGCCCGGAAAAGCGGGCTTATCATCGGATGGCACACCGTACAACGCTTCTGTGGTCGATTGTGTGAAGGTCAAGTGCACCGGACTGCTGCCGACACCACCGGCTGGCATGCCAAAATAACCCGGATCCTCAAAATCGTTGGAGCTTACCACAGACGGCGTATTTCCGGGACGTCGTGTCCCAATCGGTCCATAGACATAGGAGTTTGTATTGTCACCCAATTTTGTGTTATCCCAGTTGCTCGACGTGGCCAAATTTATGTTCGACGGCTTGGGCGTGATCAGCACAGTGGGCTTCGAGGGCTTGGGCGTAATGTTGATCTGCACAAAGCCGGGCTTCTTGTGGCCACCACCATAGCTGCTGCTCGTCGGCTGTTGAATGTGTATGGGCGTCGAGGCGGTGGCATAGAGGGGTGGCTGATAGTTGCCCGGCGTGGAGCCCAGTATATTCTCAGCGGTGCTCTGTATAAACGCATCCAGCTTATCGTCGGCCATAAAGAGCGGCGGCACCTTATCGTAGTGATAGTCCACGGTGGCTGGCGGACGAGGCGTTGTGGGACCCGTCACATAGCTGGTGGCAATCGGCTTGGAGGAGACGGGCTTGCGTGTGGGCGAGCTGGCCGCCGGCTCATGGTAGCTGAGCACGGATGGCGCGGGCTGCTCATATGTGGCGGGTGCAGGCGCGGGCGCAGGCGCTGGCGCGGACTGCTCGTAGTTGGGACTGGGCTGGGCGGGTTTGCCATAGCCTGACGCAGCAGGCTGATCATAGCTGACAGCTGGCGAGGAGGGATCATCGTAGCTAGCCGTAGGTGTGGCGGCCTGTTCATAGCCCGCAGCGGAAGCAGCCGAGGAAAACTCCTCATAGCTGGTAGTTGCTGCCGCCGGCTGCTCATAGCCCGAGCTCGGAGCTTGACCATAGCCGGAGTCCAACTGTTGCGGCTCACTGTTGTAGTTGGACGCCGGCTGCTTAATCTGTGTGTGCGTGACGGATGACTCCGACGCCTCTGTGTGGTAGCTGCTGCTCGGCGGCTGCTGCTGGACGGGTCTCCTCGTGTTCTGCTCGCTCTGTGTTGGCTTCTTCTTAATGCTCGTCGGCTGCTTGGCTGGCGGACGTCTTGTCGTGGGCTTGGGTCGTGGCCTGGGGCTGGCTGTAATTAAAACTGGACGCAGTGAGGAGCTCTCGTATTGCGGGCGCTGCGCTTGCGTTGTTGTTGTGGCCGCCAGATAGCTGCTGGTGGGCGCCGGACTGGCTGTGGCTAGCTTCTCGGTCTGCTGTTGATAGGCGGCAGAGGTTTCATCATACTGCTCCTGCACCTTGGTGGTGTGCGAGGAGACAGACACTTCGGCGGGCAAGGGGTCATTGTAATGCTGCATGGTCACCATGCCAATGTAGGAGGCCACGGGACGATGGGGCGTTGAGGGACGTACATAGGCGGGCGAGGGAGACTGCGGCGCTTCCGTGTAAATGTTCGTTATCTTCTCAAAGTTGACATCAGTGTTACCCTCCAGGGAGCCACTGCTGAGCTGACCATAGCCCGAGGGCTCATTGTCCGCCTGATTGGAATCGCCCTCCATGTAGGACATGTCCACCGGATAGGCTATGCCCATGACGGGCATTTTATTGAACTCGGAGGTCTGCGGGGCCTGCGGCGAGCTAGCATCATGATAGGTAGTCGCTGGCATTGTGTGCTCGTCCAGCACCTGAGACTGATCCTCGTTGTAGGTGGGGCGCGGCGTGGGCAGCTCCACGGACTGACTGTTCGTGGCGGTTGCATCCTGCTCAGCGGAAACCTTGTCATAGCTGGGCTCGTCATAGGCCGCGGTCGTATATCCATAATCCTGCTGCTGCTCCAACTGCTGTTGCTCCAACTGCTGTTGCTCCAGCTGCTGCTGCTCCAGCTGCTGTGTCTTGGTAGCCTCGCCGTTCTGCTCCTGGCTACCATGCTCATAGTAGCTGGGCGGCTGCACGGTGGCAGATGTCTCGCTTTGCTCTGACTGTGGTGCATAGCCATACGAAGGCGTCTGCTGACTGACCACGTTGTAGCTAGGGCCATGGCTGCTGTTGTTCAGCTGTAATATAATCGACTCAATGGAGTCCACGTGCGTGGTTATCGAGGAGACTGTGGTGGGATTGCTCTGTGCCGCAACAGGTCGCTTCTCGTTGTTGTAGGTGGGCACCAGAATATATTTATCTTCCGCCGAGGCGCTGGGCTGTGTGCTGCTCGAAGAGGAGGAAGAGATGTAGCTCTGGGAAGAGGCCTGCTGTTGATGCTGTTGCTGTTGCTGCTGTTGCTGCTGCTGCTGTTGCTGCTGTTGCTGCTGCTGTGGAGGCTGCACGTAGACAGGCTGTGGGCCGTAGCCCGTGGAGAACTGCAAATCCTCAACCAGATCCGCATCAGCGCCGGGATGTGTGATGTCGCTGTGCGTAAACTCGCCGCCATCCAGTATTAGATGATTGTGATGATGCATATTCGATTGCTGGGCAGGCTTGGGCTTGGGCTTCACCTGCTGCACTGGTCGCTTCATCACCTCGGCCAGCTGGGGCACAGGCTTTGACTGCGCCGCAGTCTTTGGCGGCGGCTTGGCTTGCGGTTTGGGCTGGGGCTTCGGCTTGGGCTGGGGCTTAGGCTTCGGCGTGGTAATACTTGCTGGCGCCTTGGTGGCGGGTGTTTCCTCAAAGCTGCTGGAGGACTCGGAGCTGCTGCTGCCGTGCTCCAAATGCCCGTTAACTATCTTGTTGGGCACCTCGGTGGTGAATGTCAGAACATCGTCCATATGCTCGGGCGGCAGCGTTGCCAGCACCTGCATCACAAAGTCATCATTGCCTGGCGGCGAGGAGAACGTGTTTATCTTCACCGAATGCTTGTTCACATGTATGGCTGGCGGCAGCTCCGTCGGCTTCAGCTCATTGGTGCTGATCGCCTCATTGTTCGGCTGCATCTCCGCCTCCTGTTCGAACTCTACGCTGGCCGATTGAGAGTGTGTCGCCTCCGTGGAGCTGCTGGCAAAGCTCAGCTCATCCGTCTGCACGCTCTGACCCTGACTGGCCGTGCTGCCCAGCTGCTGATATACCTTATCCAGATTCTGTTGATCGTAAATGCCCTGCGCCGGCTGCTCATCGCTGAGCTGTTCCTGCTGCTGCTGCTGCTGCTGCTGCTGCTCGCCATAGTTCTCATAGGAGGATTGGGCTGCCGCCTGCTGCTGCTGTTGCTGCAGCTTTTGCTGCTGCTGCTGGAAGTAGGCATTCTGTGCATCGTTGATCAGCGTGCTGGCCAGCTCGTGTGTCTGCGGTATCTGACAGCAGGCGCCGAACAGGAAGCCATCCATGCAAGCGCCCACCACCTCGCCGCCCCGCTGTGCGCACTCGTGATTGAACATGCATATGGTGGGGCCATTGGAGCGCGGATCCGAACTGGGCAGCGTTTTGGTGGCGCGACAGTGCTTTGGCGTTATGCGATAGCCGCCAAACAATTTGCGTCCAGCTGCGAGAAAGAGAAATAGAGAGTTAAAGAAGTTTAATCAATGTTTCGCCTTCTTGAAAAGTAATAATGATTTCTATTATTCGATATTTAAGAAGGCAATTTCAGCTATTTGTCCATTTTAAGAAGATCTACGCTTCCTGGTTTAATTAAGAGACGTTCGCGCATTTACATGTCATCTCTTTCATTGGCAGGAAATCGATATTTATCGATGTATACTAGTTGGTCATTCTACATTAAACAACGTACATATGAATTACATAGTTTAAATATGCTTTGCTCTGCTCAAATCCATTATGCCGACTTTAACTAGGCACAGGGTATACTAATTAAAGCTCTTTCCTCAGTTGTTTGAGTTTGCAAGGTAGAATATTGTTCAACTTATTATCTGAATATGAACAATTTGTGCATCTATGTGTATACCCTGTACTTATTTGGCAAAGGGTATACAAGTTTTGTGCAAATGCATGTGGAAGGCAAGATTAACGTTTTCTCCGGCAACATCAAGTGCCAAGTCGAACTACCCAATATCTTCTGCTTCAAATATTTAAGACTCAACTCGTTTTTTTTTTTTCTTCCACACTAAAATCGGAGTTGCTTAGCATTCTAATTGAGTTGCGAGCAATTTCCGCTTCAGCCTAATGCTTGGGGGCAATTAATTAAGCAGCCAACTGCAGAAATCAAAGCCAGGCAACTGTACATAATTGGATTAGCCTGGTGAAAATTAAGTAGTTTCTATGAAATTCTTGAAATGAAAGTGACATTTTTTTGTTTTTGCCCATAAAGTTGGCCATTTAATGGCGTTTTGCAGTGCTAATTATGAGCAAAAGTAAAAAAAAAAAAAAACGCCAAAACAATAAACTCAATTAACATGAGGAGCAACATTTGCCGTGCGCTGCAAGCGGCTGCTAACGGGGCCAGTTGAAAGGCAGTTGCCAAGTGAAAGTGCCGCTTGCCGCAGTTGCTGCAGCAAGGTCAAAGTTCAAAGCTGGCTTTTTATGGACTCACTGCTGCTGCTGCTGTTAAGTTAAATGCAGCTTGATTGCATTTTGGGCTGCTTTGGCAAATGATGTCGCGCCGCAAATTACATGCGACTGGCAACTTGACATTTTAGACATTTATCGATCTTTTTTTCTTTGTGGAACTGCAGGTGCTAGGGTTGGGGCAGCGGAGTGGGTTTAGCTGGCAATTAACACCTCAAGCGCTGGCGCTTGCTCCACTTGGTGCCGGCTGCGTGCTCCCATTTCCAGTTTGGTCGCGAAGACTATGTCAATGTTTGTGTGAAATTGGAGCACAGTCGAAATTCACGTTGGGTGCCAGATTCTAAGCCAACAGAAAAAAGAAAAAAAACTAAAATCGTTATTCTGTGGTCGCAATCAATTAACAATCAAGTCGCTAATTAAATGAAAAACAAGCACAATTACATTTACAGCTAGGCCCATAAAATGCGGCAGCCATAAAAAAAACATAAGCCTGGAGTTTCCCTCGAGCAACTCCTGAACCTATAAAGCGGAGAAAAAAAGGTGCTCTCAGTGAAAGTAAACACGGCGCGAAAAGTGAATAACTTATCAGCGGCGCCCAAAAACTCCAATTAGAATGTTCGCCCGTAACCTCAGCTCCAACTTCAACCGCAAATAACAAAAAAAAATATATATAATTGAGAAAAGTGATAGTGTTTTGTTAGCCTTTTTCATTTCATTTCATTTATTTATTTAATTTTTTTTTTTGTCTTCTTATATATTTCTCCATTTCGTTTGCAGTTTTATAAATCATTTCGTTTTTCTGCTCTGTGGCTTGCTGGTTTTTTTTATTATAAATGTACACGCTTTTTGTGGCTTTATTATTTGCAGACATTTCGCATTTTATGATTAGACACTCAAGTGCGCTGAAGTATTCTTCCGACAATCGTTAAAAGTTGGTAAACCCACCACAAGCGATGGGAAATGGCCGCAGGCCCCACGCGCTGTTAACTTAACAGCGCGCGCCTAACAGCGCTGCTTGTAGTTAACATAATTATGGTGTCTGGCAGCGCTCTCTTGCCCTACTACAAACTTTCAATGGCTGTGTGTTTGAGCGTTAATTATGCAGCTTAACATAATTTGTTTGATTTACGCCAAGCAAAATGTTAATGGCACAGCCAAGGGCCTCATTTAGCTAAGATAATGCATATGTTGAGTGTGTGGAGGCTAATTGAATAATCAAATGGTTAGCTTAGAGCTTTAGAAGCTTGGAAATTAAGTTATTTAGTGTATAACTAGATACTATTGTTATAAACAGAAAGTATGTGAGATTTTAAGAGCTAGAGTAGCTTACTTTTATATATTAGAGGTATTCGGAGTGTTATCATCCAATGTTAAGCAAGTGAGGTTATGTTTATATATGTTATCGCTACCGAGCAGCTGTTCCAATAAAATCAACCGCTTTTCTTACTTGACAAAGCCATCAAAGAACGCAATCGCAGCTCTACCCGGTCGTGCTCTCTATTCTCCCAATTCGTGACCTTCACAAAAGTCTATGGTTCTGGGTGTGTCCGATAAAAGAGTGAGAAATTCAATAAACAAAACACTCGGTTCGTTGCGGCATTGCCCATTAAATATGCAAAGAATGTTTCAACGCGTCGCTGCATGAACATTAGATATTTTTATTTCTTTTTTTTTTTACAAATTCTTTTCTATTTTATCTTTGGTGCGCCCCACCTGCTCTCAAGAGCGCAAAACGTAGTCGTAACTGAGCGCGCGTGATTCTTATAAAAGATTTGTGATTTGGTTGGGTTTTAATTCGATTTGTCAGGCAGAATTATCGCCAGCCTCTGACCCCAATTGGCGCAACATGAAATTCAAGTCAATGTATCAGCGTAATCAGACGCGATTTGGCATGCAAAATAGGTTACAGCATCGCAACAGCAACAACAACAACAACAACTGAGAGCAGCCAAAAAGCCGGCTCACACGCACACACACGCAGCGCGCTGCTCTCTTGACTTTGGATGGAACGAAAGTGTGTCAAACGCCTGAATAATTTTGCGCTGCTTTTTTTTTTTTAAACATTTTTCGGTGTTTATCATACAAATCGCAAAGAATAAGCGGCAGCAGGCAGTCAGGAAGCAGCCGAAAATGAGATAACAGGTTGCCCAATCAAACAAAACAACGGCAAACCTGTTGCGCAGCAGCATTAATCATGCCAAAAAGAAAAATGTATGGCAACCTCTGTGCCTTACTGGGTCTGGGCCCTTGGCATGCCGAGCTCCCATTCGAATTCGAATTGGAATTCTTTTGGCTGCAATCTTGAAACAGTTATCGAGTGCAGTGAAATTTAAACGCACAAACGAAATTAATTGCAAAGAGAAGAAGAGCGACATTCTCAGTGGGTCACTGGGCCCTTGCCAGACCGAACTTCACAATTCGAGTTCGAATTCCAATTGGAACGGGCTTTGCAGCCGTCTTGGAACAGTTAGCGACTGCATTTCAAATATATCGCATGCAGTGAAATTTACACACACATCCGCACACACACACACACACACATAGGTGGGCAAACGAAAAATTAATTAAATCATGAAATATGCGGCACGGCAAGCAACGCAGAGCCATTCAGCAGATCGAATTCGTAGAACTTGTTTTCTTCCCAAGCATCCGAGTGCTGCGGAGTGCTGCCAGACGGTCAAAGAATGTAAACAAACGAGGCGCTTTAACGGTAAAATGGAAAATTATTATCGATCAATTAGCTCAACGTTGCAAAAAAGAAGAAAGAAAAAAAAACAACTATATAGTCGCATATGGAAGTATATGCAAGCATGCAATACCACGTGTCGGATCGGTTTCAGACAAGCCATCAATTTGCATAGATGTTGTTCTCCCGACCAGTTTTGCATTTAACAATTCTTGCTCTGATTGCATTGTGAAAGTGTTGAAATGTTCTTGGACTACATTTATGGTAAATATAGTTGTACTGCCTCAAGGCTTTTAGGAATATAAAAAACAAAACTCCATAGCTAATTAATTATCAAGTAATCATTTGCCGAGAGTTTGCTGAAAACAGTTAAAAAACTTATGTAAAAGTTTATTAACGACATATTGATTGCAAAAATTTTGATAGACAGATAAAGCAGAGGCCAAACATTTGTCACTTTTCACGAAATTACCATAAAAAGTTGTAACATTTGTCTGGAGGTTAATTTTCACTTTTCATAGACAAAAGGAAAACTGTTTACTGTTGGTTTTATTTTTTATATGAATCTCTATCGCTACTACTAATTATGACTAGCCCAACAACGACAACAAATCTAACAACAACAACAATAATAATAATCATCCGAGCTAAAGCGAGAGTGCCTGGCCGTGTGTTTTGTTGTTTTTTTTTTTTGTATTTTTCGTGCTAGTTAAATTGAATTTGTTTTGTGATTTGTAGCTGTTGTTTTATGATTGCATTTTTCTTGTTTTCATCTTCGTCTTTTTATTAATTTTAATGGGCTTTACGTGCGACTCCACGCTATTACAAACATCTGTATGTATAATCTCTCTAATCTGGCATCTCTTTCTACGCCATTCTGCGATGTCACGCAAGAAGTTTTTCCGTTTGGCGTGTTGGAAAATGAAAGTTTAAATTTTTTGTTGTTGTTGTTCGCCTGTAGGCATTTGTGTAATAAAGCTCAAGCTTTTGACCCTTGAGCAACACTGCACTTGCTGTTCGAAATGCTTATCAGTCACAATATATGATGGTCAGGGTCGCACTGGCAGCAAATAGAGTGGCAACGCTGTGTGGCAGCTGAGCCGGAACAAAACATTTCTATTGATCACATTTTAATTGAATTGTTTAACAACAGCAACAACAACAATAAGAGCAATAACTGCAGCTGTAGTAACATATTAAGCATAACTTGTTGCATGCTCTGGTAGGCGCACGGTGAATTGGACTGTGGCATGCAGCATATAACCGATTTGCACGCAAAGCCACGCCAAACGGGAAGGCAGCGCCTTGAATTACATAAAATTGCATTTGAAAGT